AAAAAAAAAATACAAAAAGTAGGTGGGTATGGGGGCACACCCCTGTAGTTCCATGTACTCAGGAGGCTGAGGTGGGAAGATCGCCTGAGCTGGGGAGGTATGAGCCGAGATCACACCACTGCACTCCAGCCTGGGCGACATAGCGAGACCTTGTCTCAAAAAAAAAAAAAAAAGGAAAAAAAAAAAGATGCCTATGTATGCGCTGTCCTTTGTTTTAGATACAGTTTTCTCCCTTACCTGTGCCTCCTCCAGGTGGTGGTCTGTCAGGTGGTGGGCCAGGCTATTCAGTTCTTGGTCAGCGAGAAGCCTGCCTCAGGTGCTGGATGCCGGCTGTACAACGTGCGGCTCTCCCCGTTCCATTTACAGGTAAAGATGTGTAGATTTTGCAAGTTATGAGACCTGTCACAGTTCTCAGAAATATGAAGAGTGAGCATGGTGTGAGTCACGGGCTGTAACATTCATGTTTTTATTAATTATCATTCATGTCATAATTTTCAAACTGTAAGCTTCCATATAGGATTTTATGTATAGGAAATGATCATACACACACACTGCACATTACACACACACTACACACGCACACATACATTTATAATAAACTCAGGGGTTGACTCTTTCGGGCATTTGAACAAGGTGGGGTGTTGTTGACGGATATGATAAGGCAGGTGGCATCTGAGATGAGAAAAGTGGTTCTGGTTCCGAATCTGGCACTGGTTGCAGCGTGGAAACACAGCTGAGCGGTGGCGGTGGGGCATTCCTCTTTTCAGTTTCTGACAAGGTCGATTTAAAAAGAATCCCCCCCCCATTATTATTATTATTTTTAGAAATCTGGTCTACCATATTCACCTCTGTATCCTCAGCTCTTGGCACACTATAAATACTTAACATGTTTATCAATTGAATAAGGGAACAGAACTAGATATAAATGACTCAGATAACTGTATACTATTCATTATTAGGTATTATTTTGGGCATTATGATGGACATAAGAAAAAAATGCTCAAATGTGTATTCTCACTGGAGAAATAAAATCAATAAACATGAAACAATTAGGAAATAAGACATTATTCTGCAGTGATAAGTTGTGAGAAATAGATAATATATAGAGATATGCAAAAAAAAATAGTTCATTTGAAAATATGTACTTGAGCTTGAATTGTTTTGGTGATGAGTTCCTAGAAAGTTTCATTTCATAATGAAAAGAGGCACTTTGTAGCATCCATCACCATTCAAAGAATTCCCAGAGTTAGTTTTGTCAATATCCTGGATGCTTTTTTTTCTTTTCTCTCTTCCTTTGCCTTCCTTGCATTTCTGCCATTCCTTTCTCTACTTTTCTCATTCTTCCATCCCACCTTTCCCTTCCTGGGTTCTCATTCCTTTTCTCTGGTTTATGATCAAGCCTGAAAATGGTGTCTTATAAAGCTAGCAGGTTTGACTTGGAATCTGGGAAAGTATTTTATTTTATTTTTATTTTTTATTTAAGTTCTAGGGTACATTAGTATTACCATCATTCCATGTTTTAATAGTAGGCTTATAATAATAAAGACATATTATACATATCTCTATAATTTTATATAGAGAGACTTACGGATCTCTAGTAATTATAGTAAGCCCAGTGACACTCTGGATGCCCAAATCATCAGAGAGTTTGTGCATCTCTCACATCCGGCCAGATAGTCACCAGAGTTCCTATTTAGCTGGTATTTAAAAATTGCAGTTGTCTAGACTTGTTTCAAGGGTCACTGCCAGTTCAATGCCCTGTTTCATCTCCTGTGTCCTTGGACTTAGCACCGAATTTGGGGGATGAGCTCAAGTCATGCAGAATTCCCAGTCGCAAGGGAAGATGACATCTCGTATGCTTTTCCTACAAAGGCATAGTTTTAAATAGCCAGCACTCACAAGATTTCCTGGCTACCTACGTGGCTTTTTTCTGAAATCCACCCTCCCAGTTCCTCAGCCCCGCCCCAGCAGCACCCCCTTTGAGAGAACTGCAGAGGTGAAAGGTTGGCACCATGGATTCATGAGGTGTTCATGCTCTCCTGCATCCCCCAGATGATTTGGACAATGTGATTAGAAAATAACCTTCAACGTCTGGGTCATATTTACCCAACATATGATGCATGTTTTGGAACTGACTGAGTCCAGAGAGGATCACAAACACAAATGAAGAAATGTCATTTCTGACATTGTGTTTATTATATCAAAGCATTCATGCCATTTTAAGCAGCTCACACAGAAGGAACACAGTTGTATCTTTCATCTGTTAACACAGTTAGAAACCGGTATGTGGATTACCTCTCAGCGCAGAGGCAGCTGCTAGAGATTGGTAAGTAATTGATGCTGGTGGCAGGAGGCATTCCCGCTTCTCTGATGTTCCTCCGACCAGAGATGCAAGAGTGGTCTCCCTCGACTCAGCTGTCTGTGTCAAAACAATTAAAGCGCACTTTTCCCCTAGAATTACCTAATTTTTTCCAGAGTTACCAGACAAGGAAGGCAGGTTGGAGACGGTTATGCAGTAAAAGTCATCTTTTTTCTCTTACCCTGCTTCTAGCCGAGGTGAGAGTCCACGTACTCAGATAGTCTAAAGTCGTTCTTCCCTTTTGTTTAGGA